CACAAAATGATATACTGAAATCATATTTTTATTATTAGATTCATATACTAATTTTCTTCTCGTTAGTTCTGTTACCGGTCTCAAACCGAAGGGCTCGTTATATCTTGGGGAAAATTTCCGTACATCGGAAATAATTCCTTAGGACAGCGTCTGACGTGTCTCGAGCCACTAATATACTTTTAGTTCTTTTTAGTGATTATTTTGCAAGTCAATTCTCGGAGGTAGATAGTGACTGGGTCAATTTAGGAGCAACACGGTCAACACGTTGATTTTGGAAGGATAGAGCCAACAAATATTAGCAAGTTATTTGTCTCCTTATTTGAATGATTTTATACAATGTTGGTAAGTTTAATTTTTTTCTGGAATGTCAACATCTAGACGGTCTTCCTGACATTGTGGACAACAAGTTACTTAAATTATATAAAATCATTCGAATAAGGAAATAAATAATTTATTTGCTAATATTTATGTGGATATTTTTCATGTCACATGTGCACCGCGGTGCACTGCGCTTTTAACTGCGCAGTTATCTTCAAAAATTCATAGGGCCGGGACCGGTTCGGTTCTTTCTCAAAATAAGTGGAACCGTTATAAAAGTTTTAACTAATTAAATCGGTTCGGTTCCTATATAAAAAATCAAGAACCGTTATGGAACCGAACCGGTAGTAAACGGTTTGGTTCTTCCTTTTACCGGTTCATAGAATAATTTTTTCTCATCTAAGAATTAACACATAATTTTAAGCACGTCGAAAATTCAAAACACGAGTATTAAAATTTTATTTGAAGCTCTAATTACTTCAAACATCAAAGCTCAAACTTAACTAATTTACTTTGAACACTTAATAGAACAAAAGTGATTTAAATTTTCATGTAATAAATGAAACATTAAAAATCGTTGTAGTGTCGGAGCGATGAATGTTACTCGTCATCATAGTAGCAAGAATAGGACGCCTACTTCAAGTCTTTCAAAACATAAAAAAAGACATAAAGTTTGCATGTATAGATATAAAAAAACATTATTACATTCTATTGATTCATAATAAATCTAGTAATTAGAAATATCATGAAAATAGTAAAGTAAAATATGTGCAATCAACTACAAGTTATTTGGGTTATTTTATATTTATAAAATTTATGTGATGGAACAAAACTTGATTTGTAGAAAGAAGTTTAATGTATTATATCAACCTCATGTACAATATTTATTACTTCTTTTCCGTTGATTAAATTAGAACTGTTAGTTAAATATATTATATTGTTTTATTATTATTGTTGTTGTGGCGGTGGTTATTATTGCTATTATATTATTATTATTGTTGTTGTTGTTACTACAACTACTACTAATATTATTTTATTTTTTATTTTTTTTAATAACAGTTCCTTAACGGTTCCATGCACATATTTTTTATAGGAACCGGGAACCGAACCGTTATAACCTGCTTCGGTTCGGTTCCTACAAATGAGGCATTAATTGTTAACGGTTCGGTTCCTAGATATTGTTAACGGTTCGGTTCCAATCGGTTCTACGGTTCCCGGTTCCAAAATCCCACCCCTAAAAATTCATTTGAATGCCTTCCCGATTGAAGTTTTAGCTGAAATTTGGTATGAGTAAACTAGACTTAATGAATAAGATGCTCAAAAAATTTCATCAAAAAATTCCACCAGGAACCGACCCAAATGACGACGGCCGGACAGAGCCTCCTATATAAGGACTTATTTGACCTTTTAATGTAAGTTTCAGGGCCTATCTGATTCTTTTCCCTTTATACTATTACACGATTCATTACCAACAGCTTTAATTTGATCAAAACATCTCAACTAGTGAACTAGACAATCTCGGTTAATGCTATGTCATGAAGAGAGAACTTCAACAATATACTCCGTATATTTAACGTACAATCTGTTCTCATCTATTGTCCAAATACATGGTTACTGAAGGAAAGCATATCTTGTATATTTGATAGAATATTTCTTCCTTAAATAGCAAGATAGAGCAGTAGCTGTACATTTATTTAGATGATTTTATTTCCTTATTTTGTTAGCACATCATTGTATATATACGCATAATGCGTAGTTGAGTAATGAACATAACCGGCTTTTCTACATGGTATCAAAGCAGGTCAAATAAGACCCAAAAACACCAGCCACAAAACAAACTCTAGAACCATGACCGTGACAGGGGGGAGCCCTTCTGTAACACCTATAGACCCAAACTCCATCTACTACCTTCATCCATCCGATTACCCTCGACAAATGCATGTGAATGATGCATTAAATGATAACAATTATGCAGATTGGTCACAAGAGATGAGGAATTTCCTTTTTGCAAAAAACAAATTTAGCTTTGTAGACGGCTCTGCGGCGATGCCGAAGGAAGGATCGGGAGATTTGATGCTTTGGAAGCGGTGTGATGCCATGATAAAGGGATGGCTGACCACGGCAATGGAGAGAGATATTAGAACCAGGGCCGGCCCTGGACAAGGGCAGGCTGGGCTTGTGCCCCGGGCCCAACATTTATAGGGGCCCATAATTATATATAAATGGATAAATATAGAGAGGACAATTTATATCAGACCGATGTCATTTGGGGCTCTTTATGGAGGAATTTTTTTATGAAACTTTTTTAGAGTATTTTGCATCAAGTGTAAATTACATTCACAAAATTTTAGTTTAAAAATCAACTGGGAAGTCAGTTAAATAAAATATTGAAACACACTGCGCTTTGTGTATATAAATAATGCGCACTATATTTCAATAATTTATTTAACTGACTTTCAGGTTGAATTTTAATCTGAAACTTTAAGGAGATATTATAGATTTCATGAAGAATATAATTAAAAAATTTTATGAAAAAAATCTATCGGGAAGGGCCTCAAATGGCCCCGGTCTGACATCATTTCCTGTTAGGCAGGCCTAATTTCAAGGTTTCATCTTTGGACTTTAATTCGTTTTGCTCAGCAATCAACACTCTCCTAATTTTCTCAAAAATATCTTCCAAATTTGAAATTTCAATTTCACAAGTAATTCTCTGGTTTTATTTTTTATTTTTTAATTTAATTTTTATTCGTTTAGTTTATATATTAAGACTTTGATGAAAGACTTACATTACTTTGCATGTTGAAATTTGCGTATATAAAGTTAAGCTTTTGCAATATATTTATATAACCTTTTAAGGGCCTTCTTTTTTCAATCGCCCCGGGCCCATAAAATATCAGGACCGGCCCTGCTGAATCCCCTTAGATCCATTTCAATCGATTGAACACCATCAAACACAACTATATCTCATTATTTGTCAATTTAATATATGTCATGGTATATAGCTCATAAAACTAACATTTCATGGATATTTATGTTGAACACATTTTACACAATTCATTGAAATTGAGAGTTGGGCATATTACATTCGCGCAACGCGCGATCAATTTTCTAGTAATAGTATAATGATAACAAATACTACCTTCATCCCACTAAGATGGGGACAAGAGAAGGTGACACGATTATTAATAAAAGTGGGTTTGTGTGGTTGATATTAAATTGATAAAATAAGAATAAAGTAAGAATGATTTAGAGCCACACAAATTTTACAAAATTTGGTATGTGACAATCTTAGTGGGACTTCCCAAAAATGTAAAATGGGATAATCTTAGCGGGAGGAGTGAGTAGTAAATAGTATATGAAGATGGAAAAGTCCTTGTACGATGCATGAGATCTGCTCTTCCCATGTATGCCTCAATTAATTAAGGAAAGTAGGAACCTTCTCCCACAAATCTTGGACAAACCTTCTCCCACAAATTGAGTATGAGCAGTGAATGAATGCATTAAAAAAAATTGTTATGCAGTGATTATGATCAATATTGCATTAACACAGATCAGTAATATCTTCATGAAATGCATTATAATTAATTAGGCATAAAATAATAAAATTATTAAATCTAAAAAAAACAAAAACTAAAAAATAAATTCTTCAAGTGAATGAGAAGAAAATTAATTTTGACGAAAGTGCAGTGATTATTACCGGATATGCAGTAAATTCATGCATTAATGTCATGCAGTAACGTCAATACAAAGTGCAATAATTTTAATTGGACAAAATTAGTGCAAAATGCACATATTTTAAATAAGGATATTTTTCGTCATTCAACCTTTCAATAAAAACGAGATTTATTTTTTTTCTTGGATTTTCGATCATATAAAAGTCTAAAAACTAGTTAGGTCATAGATTGTGAAATTCATTAAGTTTTAGTCATATCCTAGTAAATTTTCCCAATTGTTTTTTTTCATCCTCAAATCAACTACTCAACACAATTAGTCAATAATGAAGTTGGTGGGTCAATGCGAGGTTTGGAATTGATATATTTTGCTTCAATTCAACATTACTATTTTCATTTTATTAAGATATGAAAATTTATTGGGATATTACTAATTAAATATAATCAATTTTCCTAAATGTGACTACTGATATATTAATATGGATAAACAACCAAAAATAAAAAATATTCACTGCTTTCGTGCGTTAATATCGACTATATCAATGACTAGGGTCAATGCCCTTCATAATGACTTTTTCTCTTATTTCCAATATAACATTACTTTCTTCCAATTTAATGCCCACCATATTCATTGGTGCAACTGTTTTCATATCATTTTATTGCTCTTATTGCAAACATATCATTGCACTTCAATCCAACTCACTTTTCTTCTCACATATTTCACTACCCTTGGCCAACTTTACTTCATTTTGTATGTGCTACGTCCTTTCACTTCCCAATTTCACTGCTAGCAAAGATTATACTGAATTCTCATGCATGACCCAAGGAGAAGGAAAAGAAATGAAAAGAAAGTATACCATTAAAAGAGCTGTGAGAGTGGAGCGGTGAACCGTACTAGAGAGAAGAAAAGGAGAAAGTGAGGAATCCCGTTGAAGAGAAGAGATTAAGGTTATAATAAGTTGAACTCCTTTATTTATTAATCAAATGTATTTATAAATATGATCGAATAGATATTATTTTTTGAAAATAACTATTAACATTATATCGGAAAATGAACCGTTTTAGTTGTACACGTACTTATATGACAATTTCTCTTATTAATATCATGAACACGAAGATCCTACTCGATTCCAATAAAAAAAATCAACATATGAGCGTCTTCTTCATTATTTGTTACGAAGTTGTTGTTTGTGTACGCACCTAGTGTCCGACTACTCCGATGTGTACAAGAAGCAAAATCCTAGTATTTTTATACATGAAAAGACAATCTCGAAAGCGCCCCAAATGGGTTACACGAACAAAAAGTAATCTAAAACAAACAACTATCCTTTTGTTGTCGGTCAACTATTCTTTCTCTGCTGCGGCATCTAATTCGTATGACTCTTTCCTAGAACTACTTCTTATCCTCAAAAGTCCATACAACTTTCGGACCTCTTTTATCCCTTCTTTTCCGTAACTGCCCGATTCCTCCTTGGTCCGGCCCGACCCGCTGTGGCTCAGCCTCCGGGTGTGCCGGGCAGCAGCCCTCTCTTCGCTGTTGTTATGCAACGCAGAGAGGACCGACTTCAAGGCCCGGTTCGGAGAACTCCGGTTCGAAATCATGAGTTCCCCGATCTCGGCCGGGCTCAGACTCGCCCCGGTTTGCAAAATGTCTTCTACCTGAGAGAAGAGCTTGTGATCCTTTAAACCCAAGTGGCTGCTAGCTAAGCTCTTGAAAGCGTTGAAATCGCACAGGGGGAAGTACACGTGGACGTCTACTCTTCCCGGCCGCAGAACCGTCGGATCAATTTGATCCTTTCCGTTCATCGTGAACACCATGACTCGTTCTTCGCCGCAGCAGGAGAAGATCCCGTCCATGAAGTTGAGGATCCCCGAAAACGTCGGGCCCGTTGATTTCCCGAGCAGATGACGGTCCAGATCTTCGATCACGATCAGAGATTTGCTCTTCGTCTGCAATAGAAGCATTTTGAGGTCGGTGTCGTCGGAGACTCGGGATAGATCGACGTCGTAGACGTCGTAGCAGAGGAATTTCGCCATGGCGGCGGTGAAGGTGGACTTTCCGGTACCGGAAGGGCCGTAGAGCAGGTAGCTCCTCTTCCAGAGACGGCCGAGCCTGTGGTAGTACTGCTTGGATTTGAGAAACGTTTCCAAATCGGATTTGACCTTGTTTTTGAGATCCGAATCCATCACCACCGTGTCAATCGTCGCGGGATGCGTCAGCGCCACCGATCTCCACCGCCCGCACTTCTCCGTATCCTTGTCGATGTTCATGTACAGCCTCACCTCCTTCCTCCGCTGCTCAATTTCATCGAACACCGAGAGAATATGCTGAAGATATGATCGAAGAATCCGGCGCTTATCGTTTCTGCGGATTTTCAATACCAGCGATTTCATCTCGCTCTCCTCGTTCGTCCAGCAAACCCTAGCGCCCAAAAACGTGTCGACCACGACCTGCTTCGAATCGAGAACGACGTTGATCTCGTTCGATTTCCCGCCGGAAAACAGGTTTGTGAAATCGGAATCTTCAACGCCGGGCAAGGAACTGAGATAAGTAGACACTTTCCGGTACAGCTGATTTTCCTGCATATTCTGGTTGAACTCCGGCACCTTATAGAACTGGTGCTCATAGCACTTGTCCTCCAGAACTCGAAACCATTTCTTCAACAGAAACAGCAGAGAAGATTTGGACGCGAAAGGCAGAACAAAAAATGCAGCGACGATCGCCAATAAGATCACAACAAACATGATTTGATTTGAGTCAAGAGAAACAGGAAAAGCTATGAAACGAAATTATTGATTCTCAAGGAGCTGGAAAAATCATTGCAGATGGAAGGAAGAAGTATGATGATTCTTAATCAAGATGGCGGTGGAATCATCAGCAACCTGTTCGCACCACATAAACAGAGAGGAAAGCGGGGTTTCCTCCCTTTTTATATAATTTTTTATGATTATTATTTTCCTAATTGGGGAATAATGAATGGGAATTAGATACGGGAAGAATTTATGGGTATTTGAAAGAGTTGTTCGGTGTCTGGCTTGACTTATTAATAAGAAGAGAAGAGGTACGGCACGGCGTTGTTAGTAGGGGTGGGCAAACGGGTCTTGGAACCGCGGTCCGGTCCGGGTAATGGCGGTTCGGGTCCAAAACGGGCCGGTTCCATTTTTTGTTTCCATAAAACGGTCCGGGTAGGGTCGGGTAATTTTTTTTTAAGGAACCGGACCGGTTCCAAAATTAAAAAATAACGGGTACCCGGCCCGGCCCGTTATATATATTGTATATTAATTTATTAATAGTTTTTTGATAATCGGTTTTGAAATAGTTTTGTTTCCTGTGCTAGAAGTAGGATTTTAAATTGAGTTGCAGTAACATCCTTTTGTTTTCAAATTATTGATTAAATGTTTCATAAATATCTTTTTACTTTTTATTGTTATTGAATTATTCCTTTCTATCGAATTTAATTATTTGTTAAAGACGATTTTGTTATATTTTTTTGTTATATTGTTATTAAAACATATAAATTGTGTTTACCACCCACCATGTCAGGGCCGGTCCTGATATTTTATGGGCCCGGGGCGATTGAAAAAAGAAGGCCCTTAAAAGGTTATATAAATATATTGCAAAAGCTTAACTTTATATACGCAAATTTCAACATGCAAAGTAATGTAAGTCTTTCATCAAAGTCTTAATATATAAACTAAACGAATAAAAATTAAATTAAAAAATAAAAAATAAAACCAGAGAATTACTTGTGAAATTGAAATTTCAAATTTGGAAGATATTTTTGAGAAAATTAGGAGAGTGTTGATTGCTGAGCAAAACGAATTAAAGTCCAAAGATGAAACCTTGAAATTAGGCCTGCCTAACAGGAAATGATGTCAGACCGGGGCCATTTGAGGCCCTTCCCGATAGATTTTTTTCATAAAATTTTTTAATTATATTCTTCATGAAATCTATAATATCTCCTTAAAGTTTCAGATTAAAATTCAACCTGAAAGTCAGTTAAATAAATTATTGAAATATAGTGCGCATTATTTATATACACAAAGCGCAGTGTGTTTCAATATTTTATTTAACTGACTTCCCAGTTGATTTTTAAACTAAAATTTTGTGAATGTAATTTACACTTGATGCAAAATACTCTAAAAAAGTTTCATAAAAAAATTCCTCCATAAAGAGCCCCAAATGACATCGGTCTGATATAAATTGTCCTCTCTATATTTATCCATTTATATATAATTATGGGCCCCTATAAATGTTGGGCCCGGGGCACAAGCCCAGCCTGCCCTTGTCCAGGGCCGGCCCTGCACCATGTATGTGTCAACTTTGGCTAATACTGAAAATTTAATATAAAAAAAAGCAATCACTTAAATATGTGATGTTAGACAACATGTTTAAATACAAATGTTAGAAAATATGTATTTTGGCTATGTTGCATATTTTTGAAATTTCTTTAATTGTTTGAAACTTATATATAAGAAAATATGGAGTATTGGACTTTTTACTTGTGTTATATATGCACCACTATGTTGTTATTTTGAAACTTGCTAATGTCCTATATTATTGATTATTGATTTTTGGAACTTCGTGAGTTTTTACTAATTTCAAGACATGAGAATAAAAACCGTAAAACCCGGACCGGACCGACCCGTTTCAAACGGGCCGGGTAATTTCCGGTTCCTATTTTGAAAATTGTAATACCCGGACCGGACCGAACCGTACAATGGAACCGGCGGTTCCATTTTATTTTGTATTACCCACCCCGACCCGGCCCGTGCCCAGCCCTAGTTGTTAGGTTTTAAATGGTCAAATTTTGGAATGGTCTCGTTCCAAAATTTGTCTGCGGGCCGAATTTGTCTGACTAAAAACTATTTTTACTGCGTATATATACACAATTTTTACTTATAAACTTATAGGGCACTACGTCATCAAAAACGACTTGATTTTCATTTTTTTTTTCTGAAAAGGATAAATTATGCGTAGTACATAGGAGACTATAATATGGCCTGACCCCAGCAGCCTCACATCGACTAGATTTTCCATCTCACGTGCTTCTAAATTAAATTAAATATACTCCGTATACCCGGATGATCCTAGTGGCCTCACAGTTAAATACGGAGCATATAATATTTGATGAAAATATGTAAAGATTTGATTGAAACATATACGATTCGAGAATATTCTTGATTCTATAAGATTTGGTTTTACTTGAAGGATATTAACACATTACTCCGGAGTACTCCATTACTCCGTATTATAGCTCGAAATAGGAATTTTTTATTTCATACGGAGTACTTTTTTTCGTTGAAAGGTAAATATATACTACCTGACTGATTGTCAAAAATATATATCCAAAGAATATCCCCTCGTAAGCTTAAGCATCATAGAACGAATTGCCTAAGCATCTAATCAAAGAGTTTAAACATTACATCTCATTAGTAAAGAAGTAAAAAACTTTGTGCATTTTTTCTCATAACACCATACCAACAAAGAAGTATCTAGTATATCAAGGCTTTCCATTCTTCCCCTAAGAAAAGCAGTTCTTTCATCCTTTCCAATAGCTTTCCAATAGCAAGGAACCCCAAAAACTTTAGCAAAAGATCACCACAGAACTTCTGCCAAGGAAATCCTATCCCTTTGCTAACCCAATTGTTGAAGCATATTAATTGGATAAAGTTTAAACATGATTTTATTTACCAATAGTCTAATTTGCTAAAAAATCTTACTTGTTGATATCACCTTGTTAGCAAACAATGTTTCATTCCTAGCTTTCCAAATCAAATACACCGTGCACAGTAAGGATAGTCGCACCCCTTTGCTTTTCATCTTCGCCCCGCTATAGTCCCTCTTGCACATCTTCACAACACTTAGCGGTGTCGTGGTCTTTCTCTTTAGATTTAGCCAAACACCTACTTTTCCCCACACCAAGCTAGAAAAGTGGCATTGGAAAAATAGATGGGAGACTGAATCCAAATGGGCTTTGCAGAAACAACAAGCTCTATCCATATCCATGAACAATATATTCTCACAAGTAGGGAGTCTATTTCTCATACCAAACCACATAATGAAAGAATATTTAGCTAGGATATACCTTTTCCCAATGAGGTGCATCCAAGGCTTACTTGGACCTTTAATCCTGTGTGCATCATAAACCTTTCCTGCAGCAAGTTTTCCTTGAAAGCAGATTGATTCCATTTGGTGAATAGCAGCATCAGTACCTCCCATGCTTTCTACAAGTTGCTCTCTAACCTTTAAAAGCTTAATAACCAAATTGGACACCCCAAAAGATGATGTCCATTCCCATATATTTCTGCCTTTAAGATACACTGTATGGACCCACTTTACCCATAATGTGTCCTTCTTCATGTGAATACTCCACATGGTATTTGCCAACAATGCTGAATTCCAGAGTTTGCAATCCTTCAGGCTTGATCCCCCCTCTTTCTTTGGTTTACACACATTCACCCAAGCCACTTTAGCGTTAGAACCTCCCCAAAGGAACCGCCATTGGAATGGGAAATGATTGGAGCCAATAAGATTGGACGCCCTGGATAACTGTCTTGATAAGCTCTAATTTGCCAGCTCATACACTTTGTTTTCCATATGGAGAAAAACCCTTGAATCTTTTCAATCATTGGGGATGATTGAACAGCATATACCCTAAGAGGGGCCTAGGGTATCCCTAAATACCTTACTGGGAATTGGCCTTCACGGAATCCAACTACATTCAGAATAGTTTCCTTTGCTTATCCATTAATACCGGCAAGAAAAAATATTAGACCTGTTTATATTGATGGCAAGACCTGTCACCTTATGAAACTTTTCCATACACCTCAAAAATGTCATAATAGATGGGAGATCCCCTCTAGAAAACAACATAAGATCATCCGCAAAAAGAAGGTGTGATATTCGCATTTCATCACACTTGGGATGAAGCTTAAAACATGATTGAGATGTCTCCAAAGTGAGCATTCTGGATAGGTATTCCATGCACAAGAGAAAGAGTGTAGGTGACAGTGGATCCCCTTGTCTTAGTCCACTTCTCCCTCTAAAGAAACCATAAAGTCCTCCATTGACTGACACAAAAAATGTAGGTGTTGAGAGGCATTCCCAGATCCAGCCCATAAATTTAGGTGGGAACCCAAATTCAACCAAGGTATCTTTAAGAAACTCCAAACTAATAGTGTCATATGCTTTCCTTAGATCAATCTTTATGAGGCGTCTAGGTGAAATCGTTTTCCTGGAATACCCTCTGACTAACTCTTGAGCCAGAAAAATGTTATCTGTAATCTCCTGGCCCTCCACAAAGGCACTTTGAGCTTGATTGACTGGATCAGCCAGTAACGGTCTCATCCTATCTGAGAGAATCTTGGTTATAGTTTTGTAGATCACATTAGTGCAGGAGATGGGTCTGAAGTCGGCAGCAGATGGATTGTGTGAACTCTTCGGGATCAAGGCAATGCTAGTATGATTTATTTGCTTTAGAAGTTTTCCATGTGTGAAGAATTCTAGTACTGCATTAGTGAAATCATTTCCCATACAAGCCCAGTTCTGCTGAAAAAATCCAGATGAGAAACCATCTGGTCCCGGAGCTTTGTCCTCCTCAATATCAAACAAGACATTTTTTATTTCATCAATTGTAATGGGTGCCACTAATTTTTTTTCCCCTGACTGATTAATAACACTCCCTCCTTTTATGATGTTACTGTCCAGCGATATACTCTGTGATGATTTACCTAATAGCTCTATTTTCTTTTGGACCGTTTTCAGTCCCAGACCAAATCAGATCAGGCTTAAACAGACCAGATCATACCAGACCAGACTTAAACAGACCAGACCAGACCAGACTTCTATAGTTATAAAATACACAAAGATCAGACGTCTGCCAGACCAGACCCATTCAGACTAGACCAGACCAGACTTAAACAGACCAGATCATTCCAGCAAATTTCAGTCCAAAAGAAAACATCCTGAGAGTCACTGAAGACTGAAGAGGGTGGAATGAAACAGTGAAAATAGTTATGGGACAAATTAATATTATTTTTACATATTTTTAAATTACTCAATAATCTCCCTGCACATAAGCATTGAATATATACAGCTTGATCTACTGGTGAGGGGTGATTATTTAACAAACAACTTGTGACTTTGTGAGTAGGCCTGGACTCGGGCCGGGCGGCCCGGCCCGGCCACTGTAGCAACCGGCCCGGCCCGGTGGCCCGGTCCACCGGCGGTTCGGGTCGAACCGGCCCGGTGGTTCCCGGTTCCGGTCCTGGGCCTTCCATATGGTGAACCGGCCCGGCCGGTTCGGGCCCGGTCCGGGCCGGATTTTAATTTTTTTTTTTTTTGAAAATTTTTTTAAATCTTGGGTTGGAATAGGTATTTTGGGCCATTTGAGGTGGTTTGGGGTGGTTTGGGGTTGAGGGGGAGGGGTAGGGGATTAAATAGGAGAACAAAAAAAAAAAAATTGGGCCGGTTAGGCCCGGCCCGGTTTGGCCCGGAACCGGAACCGGCCA